TATTTTATTAATCAATAACTTAAAAGAGTTTACACACTCCCCCTTCATTAGGGCTTGAGTATAATGTGACTTCCAAAGCTTGGACTCAAAGCTTTATAATGCACTGCCTGCTGATACTAACATCTTATGTAAGATCTATAAATATTTCCAAACTGCCCAAGCATTGCTGAAGTCACATTATACCCAATACCTAATGAAGGGGAGTGTGTGAACACCTGAATAGTGTTGGCTCTTTTACATTTCATGGGAGCAGCCCTGCCAAAGCCGTTCAGCTTAATAAATAGGACAGTCACTTCCAATAGTGGACATTACTAATAGGAGATTGAGTGCCTCTTATGCAGATACAGCAATAAAAACCTGACAGGGTCTTTTCCTGCTCTATCCAAAGCAAAATAAAAGGTTTTGGCTGAATTTAGGATTTGATGTATTTTACTGGCAGCCTTTTGTGTTATATTATCTGCTATTGTAGCTTCAAGTTTAAACCGTATGAAGGAACCTTTAGTCTGTTAAATATACTTTTGAAAGTGATTCTGATCAATAAGTTCAAAAATGCTATTTGATCCTGCTAGAAATCTTGTGAGGTGACAATTTCCTGTGCTTTCCGGACGGGGTTATGGAGAGGAAGAGGGGGGAAGAGGAGGGGTCATGAAGATGAGGTGGGGGGAAGAGGAGGGGTTATGAAGATGAGGAGGGGTTATGAAGATGAGGGATGTGGAGGAAGAGAGGAGGGGTTAAGGAGACGGCGAGGGATAGGGAAGGAGATGAGGGGAGGTCTGTATTGTTTGTAATCCCCCAGTAATAAAGTAGGCAGGGCTGACACCACACTCTTAGGAATTCAGAGCTGTGTTATCATGTCAAACAGGAAGTTAGGCGCACACTATTTCTTGCACTTTTGGCACAATTATGTTTTCTGTACTTGTCTTGCAGCAGCTTTAAAGGAATGTCCCCGTTAAGAGGTTTCGCCCTCTCAATTTGTCCTGGTGACTATTATCATCAAAAGCCCACACTTTGGCTTGTCACCAGAACAGGGCTAGATGGAAAATCTTCCAGTGGGGACACTAGCTCTGATGACCCTGCTGACCACCAGGGATTTTCCTCTCTCTTTGGAGGGATCTCTTCTCACTTCCTGTTGTAGCTATCAGACAGGAAGTGAAGGAAAATCTCCCGAATGGGACAGTTGTCAAGAAAAAAAAACTGACATGTGTTCTAATCTAATGTTTGGGCTTAGGCTGGATTAAAGCTAGCTTCTCCTAAGGGAAGTAAGAATGGGCTTTTTAAATGAAATGAACATTAGTACTAGGCACTCCTCAATATACATCCCAGACTACAGGATTAAGGAGAAAAAAATAGTGCAGGGATAGGCAGAAGGAGGTCTATAGGTAAACTTGGGATATGCCCAACAGGATTTGTTTAATGTTCCCCCAGCACTCTGGCACTCTGGTGCAGAAAACATCTCAAGGTTCCCAACTCCGCCCACCTGGCATGGCCATAAATGAGGGTATTTCGAGCTTCCTCCATGGAGATCACTTTGTGAATACAGAACTACTACTGTTTATACTCTGCACTGCGTCTCTTTAGGGAGAGAAGAGGCTGCAGATGGCCATGAGAACGCACAGGGCAGAAATGCTGTGGATTGAGAAAAATCATTACAGGAGAAAAAGAAACAGCTGACCAAAACCAAATGGCCAAGATAACTGATTTTATGCAGTTTGGCAGAGCTGTGTACAGACAGTTTTTTTTTTTGCATTTAGGTTTAAATCTAATTTCATCCAAGCATGCACTTTTTTTTCTACACCTAATAATGCAAGGAAGTAGAGTGATCCCAGTTTTTTTTTTCCTGGAGGTAATTATCTCCAAGGATGAATGTGCAGCTGTCACAATAGACACATTATTAAGATCCTCGTTCTATAGTAGTGTTGAGTTACTCTGACAGCACCAACATGGAGCTGATAACGCCTCATTTGCATTTCTATTATGGGCGATGAATGTGCAGAGTTTTCCCACAATGCCTTGCGATTTTCTAAGCTATTTTCTCGTTTTGTTTGCTCACTTCCTGGATACTCTAAAATATTAATTTCTGACTCCAAGTCTGTTATAGTAACAAAAAGAAAAGTAAACTGCCGATGGTGCTTAGACTGCAAATGTGCAATGTATAGAAGGTGTGCAAATAGGCAAAAAGTAGAAGTCAATAAAAGAAGTCCTCAGATCTAATTAAAGGGCATTATCTCATATATTAGTTTCACCTTTTAAGTTGCATTAGTGAAATAAATGAACTTTGCACGATATTCTAATTATTCGAGTTTCACCTGTAGATATATATATTTTTATATTTGTTTTTATATCTATTTTATTATTATTTTTATTACTATTATTCAGGATTTATATAGCGACAACAATTTGTGCAGCGCTTTACAATATAAGGAAGACATTGCCATTACAATACAAATCAAGACAAGATGGTATGGGGGGCCCTGCCCGTGATAGTTTACAATCTAAAAATAACATAATTTATATACCATATTATCTACTATATTATAAAATATAAAAACACAGTTTTAAAAACAATATTGAATTAAAATAATAAACACATTTTTTAAAGTCTCCCACCCCCGTGAGCGCATGCATCTTCATGTAAACATGTGTCAGGTGCGCCTACTTACGAAAACGACGATCGCGCTAGACATGTTGGGTTTTGCTCGCGTTAGAGGAGTGAGAGGAATAATTATAGGGCTGATATTTACGCATATCTCTAAACTGATGACCTGTAGGGGCTTTTAAAGCATTGTGTATGGACTTTTTGGGGTACTGAATACTGTTGCAGTTTCGTGGACGCGCACAATTTTTAACATGGGCTATTGGATATTTATGTACTCGTTGTAACCTCATCTTTCATATTTTACAAAAAATTATGGTTTTATATAGTGTATTGGGGCACTTAATTTAACTTAAGTGCATTTTTCAAAAAATGTTGGGGTTTGATAATAAGTTGCGCTAATGTCGTGCAATATACAAATTTGCAACTGCCACCATTTTATTCTATAAGGTCTTGGCTGTCAGAAAATATATAATGTTTGGGGGTTTTAAGTAATTTTCAGGCCAAAAATGTGGATTATAACGTGCAAACAAAAAATGAAAAAAAGGGCTCGGCTAGAACTATGAGGTGAGTGGAAATCACTCATCTCATAGTTCTCCTTTAAGGTGTTAACCCATAAGAAGGAGTCATTAGTTGATCCTAATAGCTTGGATTTGGCAGCTCTTCACATAGGAGGTGGACCCCCAAGAAATAAGGGTCACCCAGTTAGACAAATCGAAGTGTAAATGAACCAGAAGAGTGCCAAATGATCATTTCACCAGTACTCACTGGAAAGCAATAGAGCAATAGACAGCCAATGCATTTCGCCCAAAAATCCCCCTTCATCAGGGTGAGATAAAGTAAATGAGACCAGCAAATATAGAGGACATGAATGAAAAATATAGAGTAGGAAAAGAACACGAATCATTGTCCGTATAGGTAGTATTAGGGAAAATGTAACAGAATGCCCACTAGAAGGCACGAGTTCCCACCCTAAAGCTAAATCCTAGTGTTCAATTATGGAATGAAGGCTATACTGTATACCGTCTTTCCCCGAAAATAAGACACTGTCTTATATTGTTTTTGCCCCCAAAAAACACACTAGGTCTTATTTTCAGGGGATGTCTTTTTTTTTTTATGTGCAACAAAATGTACAACAATCTAAAGTTATTCATGTACAACAATCCAAAGTTATCTGGTATCACTCCGCCTGTCACAGTAACCGGAGCTATTGAGGGAGTATCGGCTAATGCGGCTCTGCTCCCTCCGCCGCTGCAGCCTTGCTTTCGACAGCGCCGTCTTCCTTTGCCATCAAGGACAGTTGTACCAGTGGTGCAGCAGTGGGGACATCAGACAGTGAACAGTGCTGTAAATTACGGTACCATTACATTAAGCAGTGCCTTCAGGGCAGTTGGTGAAGTATGGTACTGGAGTGCTGACGGTCACTGCGCTGGCCGGAGGGAGTCCCCTGTCATCCCCTTAATACAGTATGTGCCTGCAGGCTGATACCATCTCTCCTGCAAGTTCCCCCTCACATGCTACCACCAAACTAGGTCTTATTTTTGGGGTAGGTCTTATATTACAGGAATCTTGAAAAATAGTGCTAGGTCTTACTTTCGGGGTAGGTCTTATTTTCGGGGAAACAGGGTATATAATATAAATGTATCAAATCCATAGATGTCTATGATGGGAGATGTTCATTTGTTCAGAGTAAATATAACAAAAACATTTTTGGGGGCTATTGCGAGGAAGGATTTGAACCCTTGTTAGGTTTTCTGCTTTTTCTCTGCTGACATCTCCCTTCCTGTTCAAGTGATTCTGTTGTTACAACATAACAGTGAAGGTGTCACAAGGACAGGATGTAAAGGGATACAGACAAAAATATAAACCTAGAAAGAAGAAGAAACCACTAGTACCAGCTAACCATCGTCCTTGGGGGGATAAATGCAACTGACTCCCACGGGATGGCAGCACCTTGACAGTCAGGGTATCTGGAAATCTGACAGGGAACAAGCAAAACAAAGGGCGCCTCCCTAGTGTAGAGGTTTTTATTGATCAATATAAAAAATAAGGATTGTACTCACAAACATCCAATAAGAGAAGGCCTGCAATGACAGAGATCACAGCAACAGTATGGAGATAGACAAACAGCTACGGCATAAGGGAAGCAGGCAAGAAGCTTCATCCATCTACCTACATGACAGCCCTCCAGTTAACAAGGCCCCCTTTGTTTTGCTTGTTCCCTGCCAAAAATATAAACCTGTCATAGTCTCTAACCCTGGTGTTCTTCTTTAATACCTTAGACATTTATTTTTCAGTACCACTCGTGATTTACAAACAACTTTATTACTAAATAAGTTAGGAATAAATAAGTTGACTTTGAGATGAGTTGCCTTTAAGGTTTGTTAATGTATCTTGTTTCATTTAGACATACAACGGTCAAAGTGAAAGCAATGAGGACTATGAGATCCCTCCCATCACACCTCCGAATCTACCAGATCACTCCCTGATGCACTTGGTGGACCATGAGTCTGGATATCATTCACTGTGTCACAGCCTCCCTCCAAATAGCTTGATACCCGCCTACTCCTACCAGAACATGGACCTACCTGCCATCATGGTCTCCAACATGTTAAGCCAAGAAGGACATCTCCTCTCCTCACAGCTGCCCACAGTAAGTTATTTTCTTTACTTAAAAAATATCTTCACCCAAAGATGGAAATTCAGCTTCAAGTGGGATTTTGGTATGTTAAACCACATATCAAGTTGTTACTTGGTTTGTCCCAGCTGACAAAAGTTGAGTTGTTTCTTAAACTCTCACCATGTTGACGACATTCAAATTCATGACATGCACCAAAGAGTGCAGATCGGAAACTTTAATGATAAAGTAATTTACAAATTGCACTATATCAATATCGGTGAGACAAAAGAGCTCACCAAGATAGGGTCAATGATGGTAGCAGGTCAACCCTAAATCAGCTTGCAGCTTGGAGAGCTAAAGACAGAAGCCATCTCAGATACACCTCACAAGACCTGATGTGTGACTAACTACCATTAGTCTTACTAGGGGGACATTCCTACTAAATACTCAACTTTTAAAAGAATGGCACCACAGACGCTTTTCGAGACTCAATGCCTTCTTCAGATGATGGGTCTGACGAGGTGGATCTCTGGCGGCTTCTGCCTTTATCCCCTGTAATAACTGTCTAATTAAAGTTTGAGCCATTGTTCCTTAGACTGCTTGATTCTCAGGCCCAGCAGAGACTGATATGCTCCTTAATCACATCAGTATTTTAAGAGCATTTTGTTCTAGGTTTTATCAATAAAGTTTTTGCTCTGCAATAGGTTTTTTTTTTCTTGATTGTTAAGACTTAGTATGTTTGTCTTTTAGATCTGCAAGGACTGGTGGTAGCAAGAATTTTGTTTATAACTCAACCATATAGATATATAGAATGTTTGATCTTTGATGAACATCTAATTGGTTGATATTTGCATTCTAATTAAGACTCGCAGTCCCAATTCCTCAGAGTTTTCAATTGAAATGTACATTTCCCTCTCATTTCCAGTCGAGGTATCTATTTTGACCACTTAAACAGAATTCAGCCAGTTGATTCACTACATGCCTCATTATGCCTCAGCTGGATCCTAGTAGCCTGGTTAGCTGCAATATATTATGGATCCAGTACATAAGGACTGACTCAGGGGACAGATGCACATTCCTCTTGGGTTTCATTGAGCCACATTTTTATCATCTGCTGGATTAATACACCTTGATGGCTAAAAAAGTGAACCTATGGATTATCTCATAAGAAGGAGATCCCACAGAAATAACATTTGGTTCTGCAATCTATAATCAGATCTTCGTAATATAATACTACAGAGTCTCTTATCAGATAACTTTATATTATTCAGTTATATTGCAAATGATTACCAAACGGTTTCATTTTAATGTCTAGGAATCTTTGTGATGGACCGGCCATCCTTGGTTTATGTACTGCCTTAACCTCCATATAGCTAATGAGCATGGTCTGTTCAAAGCAGTTGTGTTTTCCTTGAGGGGTGGTAGTGGGGGAAGGGGGGAAATCTAAGGGTTTATTATTGGGTTATATGCCAGTTAAAGATTATTTTATGTATTTTCACTTTCACTTCTGATTGTTTAATGTGTGTCTTCTGAGGGGAGATTTATGGTGAATGTACAAGAATTATTTATTGGGCGAAATAGCAGTTTATAAAAAAAAAAAGAAGCTTTCAACGGTTAAATTTTTTGTCAAAAATAATGTTGACTGTCATATTTATGGATGTGAATTGTACATTTTGATGAGAAAATAATAAAATAAATAATTTTGAAATAAAATAATACATAAAAAATAAATAGAGATAGAGACTATATAAAACCACAGCTAAAATAATTCATGCATCATAGTGCATTTACCTTAAAGGCAGCTGTCATACTAGGTGAGGGAGTGACTATATGCAACCAGGGGTAGGGAAGCAGTTAAGTGAACCTATTGCTTTGCCCTGCATAGACAAAACATAGGTTTATTTTATATGTGCATTTACCTACAAAAGCTGAACCCCAAGTGGTTTATAAAAGCTAAACCTTTACATATTTTTCATTAATTAAAAAAAAAAAAAATCACAAAAACTAGTACCTGAATGTTGTATCAGATTCCTGCAGCAGGACTGGGTGTGGGAGGAGCAAAATATAAGCCAATCATGTTCTGCACTACACTTTGCTATCAGTTTAACACTTGGAACTTACTGATGGGAGGAAAGAGCAAAGTGAGCTCATTCAAATTTGTAAGTCTGTTCAGTGGTCTTGCGATCAGGGGTAGGCATTGACCTAGCTCAGGGGTAGGCAACCTTGGCTCCCCAGCTGTGATGAAACTATAAATCCCATACTACAAGCCACAGGCATGACTCCCAGAGGCAGAAGCATGATGGGATTTGTAGTTTCAGCACAGCTGGAGAGCCAAGGTTGCTTACCCCTGACCTAGCTAAACTATTTTTGCAGAGGTGCCAGGATCGCAAGACCAAGGAACAGAATTACAATTTTTTTAGAGGCAAGACACTCTACATGTATGAATCTGATCTGTGTTATTAACTGAGGGCTGGGATTCAGATGTAAGGAAATGATCATTCATATCTGTAAACATTTTAGTAAATCAGCAATGGATATAGCCGAGATATTGTTTTTTAAAGGTTCACGGCTTCTTTCTTGTTTAGCGCACACACACACTCACTCAGGATAGTGCAGCCAGTCTCTCTTAAGCCTATGATGGACACATGAAAATCTACTCTATAGCATATTGTCAGGTGGCAAAAATTGAATGAGGTGTCCTGACCCGCACCGCACACCTCACTGTCTAAACCTTCATGTATGTGATTGGCTGAATTTTTTATGAACCTTTTTAAACATATCAACCTATAGGAGACTATGAGATGGTAAAGGGAAAGAAAGAATAATAAAAAAAAGAAAAGAAAAAATAGAATATTTATTATACAGGCTGGTTTTCATCAGGCTGTAGTGTCCTCATTCTGAGAGTGTAATTGTCTTTGATGCATATGTATGAGTGTTCTCTGCTGATTGGTGATTGAAAGAGAGAATGGACCTAATATCTGATGGGGCATGTTTGGCAAATCAAGCTTTGCAGGACAGATAGCATGTTATGAATTTGCATGATTCTCCCCTTGCTTCTTTGCATCACAAGTTTCCATTTAGAAAATGCCTGTTTATTATTTTTTTCCCCCATCGGTTTAATTGAATTCAGAGGCCACAAAGAACATAGGAATATAAAGGAGATGTCTGCAACGTCAAGAGTCTGATATCCCAGGGTTCATCGGCTGCAATGGCAGACATTCGAAACTGAATTTATGCCCAAAGTAAAATAGAAATTGGGCTCCTCTAAGGGTGTAACAATTCTCTAAAGGATAACTGTTCAGTAAAGGAAAAGGTTTTGGGTCAATATTATTTTATATATATTTTTGTTTGTAGGTTTTTAGACAGATGTTTTATATCTTTTTTTTCTTTACTATGTTTGTTAAAAGCTTTATTTCACAAATAAACATTTAATTCAGGCTGTACCCATGAAGATGTTGTCACAGTTGACTATAGGTTTTCTAGAAAGCAGAGAAGGAGATGCTTATGTTTAGATTGCCTATGTGTGCCTATTTGAACAGAGCAGGTAGGGAGGGAAGGGAGTTACCCCTCTGACCCATTCAGCTGTGTCAACAGGCCAGATGGGAAGGAAAGGAAGTTGCTCCTCTGACAAATTCAGCTGTGTTAACAGAGAATATAGAAAGGGAAGGAGTCATTTCTCTGACCAATTAAACTGTGTGAACAGAGCAGGCAAGGTAGGAGAGGAGCCACTACTCTGACCCATTCAGCTGTGTGAACAGAGCAAGTAGGGTAGAAGAGTCACTTTCTTGCACATTGCAGGCAGGGTAGGTATGAGTGGAGTCACTCCTCTGACCTGCTCAGCTATGTGAACAGAGCAGGCAGGGAAGGGTATGAGCAGAGTCATTCCTCATACCAATATAGCTGTGTAAAGAATGCAGGCAGGGGAGGAGAGGAGTCACTCCTCTGAGCCATTTAGCTGTATGAACAGAGCAGGCAGGGAGGGGGAAGTCACTCCTTTTATTTATTCAGTTATGTGTTTAAATTTTAGCTCGAGCCATTGATCTCCAACTCCAACAGGCTTGTTTCAGCACAGCAGGTAAGGATAGACAGCTGAACATTTAAAAAGGAGCCTAGAGCTCCAAATGATGAAAATATAATTTTCTGTATACATAACACACACATAATATACATAATGAATTAAGAAAATATATGAAACCCTATATGATGCTTCTGAGATCTCAGCACTAGTCGTTTTTGGTGCAAAATGGGTATTTTCTGGCACAAGGTGGCCTTTGGTGCTGGATATGGTAGTTACATATTCACCTTAGTTTAGTGTCCCAGAGGTAGGTTAAGATTTGGAGTTATACCTAGTTCAGGAAGAAAAGGATTATGTGTTAGGTTCAATTTTAGGGTTAAGGTTTAGTGTAAGTGTAAGGATTAAGTTTATGGCCAGGTTAAGAATAATTGATAGGGTCAGGTTAAGTACAGGTGAAACTCGAATATTTAGAATATCGTGCAAAAGTAATTGCAGTAAGTGCTGCAAAAGGGGCCCAAACCAAGTACTGAGTACATATGCATGCTTGTACTTTTCAGAGGTCCGATATTGTTCTATTTACAATCCTTGTTTTATTGATTGCATGTAATAATCTACTTTTTTGAGGTTGTGGATTTGGGGTTCTTGGGGTTTTCATGAGCTGTAAGCCATAATCATCACAATTATGACAAATCACGGCTTGAATTATCTTGCTTTGCATGTAATGAGTCTATCTCATATATTAGTTTCACCTTTTAAGTTGCATTAGTGAAATAAATGAACTTTGCACGATATTCTAGTTATTCGAGTTTCACCTGTATTACATTTCAGGGCTAATATTGGGAAGAAGTTAGGTGTCAGAGTAAATTGTAGGGAGTTAGGTAAAGTTCTAGGGTTCAGGTGAGAGAAGAGCTAAACATTAGGATCAGTTAGAATGCTAAGAAATGTTTGGGGTCAGGACATGTGGAAAATTATTTATTATTTTTCTTTATCTGTTTTTTTGTGCTGAAAACACTGCATC